AGATTCCTCCATTGACAACATAAACCCCACTAGAGCTGTAAATGAACCGAATGTTCGCAAACTAAAGCTCGTTCGAGTTCAGGGGCGAAACCATGTTGGCACCCGGAGAGGCGTCGGCCCTCCAAAAAAAAAAAAAAAGATCGAACTAGGGTGGAGGATTTTGCTGGAACTGGAAGATTTTTCTTTGAGCGCGCATGTTGGGCCCTCTCCGGTTTCATGCGGTACATATGTTTGTTATGTTTTGTGCTTATTTTTATGTATTTTTATGTGTGTTCGAGTCGATTTTTAGGTTCGTTTTAGTGTCGTCCGGTCCATTTTGTCGTTTTCCGTGTGTTTTCGTATCTTTCGTTTTATTTTATATTTTGGCGTACTTGTCCGTGTTATTGTTGCATTTTCAGGTGTTTTCCGAGGATGATGAGGAAGTCGAGCGAAAGAACCGTGAATCCCGAGAAGTGTCGAGCCATTCGCACGAACCATTTCAAACCGAGAGTTTCGAACCTTAGTCGATGCGGTCACAAGTTAGGCACGCCGCACGCCCGCACGCCCACGCCCGCAATGATACCCCCCACGCCCGCACGCTCGCGAATCTGCTTGCGAGCTCGAGAGTGCCGCTTCGTGCACATCACCACCGCGAGCTCGCGGATTTTACGGCGTGATCGAGAGTGTCTCATTAAGTGTGCGTGTTTTAGTGTGTGTGTTGAGTAGGAGTATAAATATATTTTGTCCTTTGCATTTTAGACATCATTCTCTCGTTTTTCACTTTTCCTCTTTTGGAAAATAGTTTATGTTTTATTTTTGCTCTCTAGATTAGGAGCTTATGCTATTTTCTGGGAGATTTTCCGGCGACTTCGGTTTCGTTCAAGTTTCGAGTTTTTGACTCCGTTTTTCATCGTCTACGCAATGGGAGATTGAGTATTTAGTTTTAAAGCTCTTTATTTCGTTTTTGCTCCAGTTTTACTTATAATGTTCATTAGAGTAAATTGGATTTGATTGATGATGGTGGAGATGCTTGAACTTGATTGCTTGCTTGAGTAGATAGAGCCGTTAATTACTTGTTGATCTCGGTTAGACGACTAGGGTTAGCAATCTAATGCTCGTAGCTCGTTTATTCCGTTTGTCGATTGATTATCATCCCGATATGGTCATGGCATGAGACTCCGGTAATCTAGTTTGCTAAATACTCGCGATTTCGTCTTGCTTCTAGGTAATTGCTCGTTTTTAAGTGCTCGATTAGTGTTAATCAACCATCCAATCAATTTCTTAGAATGTTTAGGATTTTATTTTCCTTTTTTGTGATTTGGACGATCATTTAGTAGACAAAGCTCCGAATAGCCTTCCTTCGAGATTGACCCGAGTCGGGTAGCTCGGTTATCCCTTGCCCATCAAAACTATACTAAACAACATACATGGACGGAGGGGCGCCAACGGTTTTGTCGTGAATTTTTTTTAAAGGCAAATTGGGCCTCCCCGAAACGGGATCCTAGTTTCAGGACAAGGAGAACTATTGAGTTGGTTAATTAGTCGACTTGCGGTGTACCGACGGGACTCAAAAACCGAGTCGATCATTACCGAAAAATACTTTTATGAAAGTACGGGAAGCGGAGAATGCGTTGGTGGCATCGATTTATGATTTTGAGGTCCCGACCATTTATTTTGGGTAGCCCGAAGTTGAGAGAAAAATAGCAGTGACGGTGATTTTATTGTCATTTTCATGTCTAGACTTCGGGTAACCGCCGACCCTCGTTAGGCGTGCTGAAAATTAGCGGGAGTACTTTCTTGAAAGCACGAGAACAGTAGAAATCGTTCGTAAAATTTATTTCACGTTTCGAAGTTTCGAGCATTTATTTTGAGAAGCTCGAAGTCGAGTGCGCATAATAAAAGAATAAAAAGCCGTTTTGCGGGGTTCCGTAAGGTTGCGTGTGACCTCGTTTTAACGAGAATCGAGTTGGAGTGTGTAGACAATTCAAGCACGATTCCATACGGACAAATTTCGCATTTTTCGGAGTTCCGAGCATTTATTATGGGAGTTTGAATTTCTGCGTTAAATAGTATCAAAAGGAGCAAATTTGTCGAGAACGAGTTCGATCGTTCGAGGCTTCGTTTTCTCAATTTTTTCAGCTTTTCGTCTATTCGAAAGGAGGTATAATTTTTTATTATTATTATAATTGAGTCAGAGATTTTTATTAGTATAAATTCGAGTATTTTTCGAGTTAAAACAATTCAGTTTAAGTATACCAGTTTAATTTCGGACTTAGTTTGATTTTTAGAAAAATCTCTAGAGTATTCCTTTATTTCCTGCGAAAATTTTTGAGAGCATCCACAAAAGTCCTTTGAGCGCCCTTCTGATGCCGGAGTGGGGGTGGTGCGCCGCGGGATGGCCGGAGTGGGGATGGTGCGCCGCGGCAAATTGGGCCCTCCCCGGGATGACCGACTGGTTTCGCCACTGCGAGTTGGGTCGTGTTCGACAAAAGCTCGTTCATTTATTAATCGAGACGAATTCAAACAAAAAATTAGGCTCGTTTAATACTCGAACGAATACGAGCTCGCTCGCGAACGTCCGATAATGTTCGCGAACATTAATTTAATATAACTTTATTTTATTTTTTATATATTTACATAATATTTTTAATAAAGAAATTAAAATATGAAAAATACTCGAACGAACACGAGCTCGTTCGCGACTGCGAACATTTATTTAAGATTATTTTATTTTATTTTTTAAATAGATACATAATATTTTAATAATAAAAAATTAAAATATGAAAATATTTTTTTTTTTTTTTCGAGTTTTTGAACGAACAAATTTCAAGTTAATCACACATTGTTAAAAAATTTATGTTTTAAATTTATTCGAACACGAGCGAACTCGAACTTTGATGAACAATTAAACGAACGAGTTTGAACACGATTTTTAACTCGAAAAATAAATGAATGAACACGAACATTGTTCGAGCATAAACAAACACGAGCTCGAGCAACAAAACTCGGTGCGTTTATGGCACTAAACCCCACCTGCATACACATAATGTTTAATTTACATTCAAGAAAATATATATACTATTATAAGTATTTGAATTAGAACTAATAATTCTGAATTTAATCGATTAATTAATGTTTCAAGAATTGATAGGGTGAAAAATGAATCAAGAAGTTTGTCCACTAACATATTTATATAATAGAATTATGGATAAATCAACTATTAGCCAGACCCAATTATTAGATAATTATTCATACTTTAACAAATAATATAAATAAAAATATGACATTTTTTAATATAGATATATTTTATGAGTTAATAATATGGCAGATCGACTCGTCTAATCTATAAATTTCTCTAGACAAAAAATTGTCTTAAATTATTAATGTAAAATCATTTAAATATTACTGACTTTCATGAGTTATTATACATGTAAATTAATTACCTGAATTTCAGAAAAAAGTTCAAAAGGTAAATCAACAACAGTACAACACCGAAAGCATCAAATACAATTTAATGATTTTTACCTTGGTTTAAATATGAGAAATGACCACCAAATTAAATCTCCAAAATCCCCCTTTTTTTATTTTTATCTAATTCGAAAAGTCAATAAATAATAAATACAGTTTTGCTTTAATTGTGAAGGCTCTTACAGTGCCAGTTGTAATGTCTAGATATATATATACGTAGCATTTATTTCTAATTTTCCTTAATTTATTTAATTTATTTAAACCTTTTTACCTATATAAATTGAGGAATTCACATGCACTTATTTCATAATTCTGAATCCTTTTTTTTTAAAAAAAAAAATCTTAATTATCTCTCTAAACTAAAATGTTTCTCAAATATTTAATTTTGCTTATTTTGATTTTCACAATCTTTGCTAAGTCACTATGCGTAGAAGCTCAAAATTATCGACGTTATCGTTTTGTGGTAAGCAAAATTGAATATTTTTTGGTTCAATTTTAATTCTATGTGTTCCTTTTATTTTATTTTTTTCCCGTAATTTAATTTGGAATTTTGCAGGTCAAGGAAGCTTCATACAAGAAATTGTGCGAAAAAAAGAACATTCTAACGGTGAACGGAAAATTTCCGGGCCCGACTATAAAAGTCCATAAAGGGGAGACTATAATCGTCGATGTCTACAACAGAGGAAAACACAATATTACCCTTCATTGGTATATAAGTTTTAGGTCTTTTTTTTTTTTTCGCACGAAAAAGTCGAACGTATAAAAATTTATACGTTCATGATTGTAATTGTAAAACTAATTGTCAAATATTTATTTATTTCGTAGGCATGGAGTGAAGCAACCGAGGAACCCATGGACTGATGGGCCCGGGTACATAACGCAGTGCCCGATAAAACCGGGCGGCCAATTTAGCCAAAAGGTCATATTCTCCAAGGAGGAAGGGACTTTGTGGTGGCACGCGCATAGTGACTGGTCGCGGGCCACCGTGCATGGGCCCATTATCGTGTACCCGGGCCAAGGGACTTCGTACCCATACCCTAAGCCGTATGAGGAAGTCCCGATAGTCTTAGGTGAACGATCGATATATATATATACAATGCATTTTCAAAGATTATTATAAACATGTTATGTGAGATTATTTTAATTAGTTTGATTGATTATTTTTGTTTTGGTTTTCAACTTTGTGGTAATTAGGGGAGTGGTGGAAAGAAGATATAATGAAAGTGATGGCGGATTTTGTCGAGTCCGGGGGGCAACCGGTGGACTCGTCGGCCTATACCATAAATGGTCAGCCTGGTGAACTTTATCCATGCTCAAACAACGGTGAGTAAATATCTATATATGTGCAAAATCATATATCTCGTGTTTTTGCATTACCGCACACAAATATACAGAAATACGACCCATGTGTTGATCCAATTGTAAAAAAACTCGATAACTACACTTGTGGAGAGTGAATTGAAATCTACCATATATATGTACATATATATCTTTGTCCAGAGAAAAAATAATTCTTGAAATAGAATAGATAATTATATATACTATATGTGTTTTGCGTGTGATGTTTAAATGAACCCAACTGTCCCTTTAAATGTCATCAATTTTGTGACTGCAGTGTTTCAGTAACCATTTTTATTGGTGCTTTTGTTACGAAATAATGGACCATCCTTCTTTTTGGTAGATTACACCAAAAATAGAAGAAACTTGAGGCACACACTTTTGACATATGGTCCATTTTCCATATGGAATGTTGGAATTAAAACCTAAAAAAAACTTAAAATTAATAATAAGAAAAATAATACTAGAGACTATTTTTTTATTAATTTTAATAAAATAATATCTAACAATTAAAATAACTAAAAAAAAAAAATCTGAAAACACTCGCCTAACTCAACTTTCGCGCAGACATGTTCACTATGAAGGTGAAGCAAAACAAGACGTACCTCCTCCGACTCGTCAACGCCGGCATGAACGAGATCATGTTCTTCGGCATTGCCGGCCACAACCTCACCGTTGTCGGCACCGACGGCAGCTACTCCAAGCCGCTCACCCGGGCCTACATCGCCATTAGCCCGGGCCAAACCATCGATTGCCTCCTCCACGCCGACCAACCCCGGGCCTACTACTACATGGCCGCCCGACCCTACGTCAATGGCGTCGGCGTCGACTTCGACAACTCCACCACCGTCGGCCTCGTCCGCTACTCCGGCTGCTATCCGCCTGCCCGCCCGCCGCCCCTCCCGACCCTGCCTGAATACAACGACACTTCAGCGGCCCTCAACTTCTCGTACAGCATCCGGAGCCTCGCCTCGAAGGAACACCCGTGCGCAGTCCCGCCCGAGGTCGGCGAGCGGCTCGTGTCGACCGTCTCGGTCAACACGCGGCCCTGCCCGCCGGGCAGGACTTGCGATGGGCCTAACGGGACCCGGCTCGCTGCTAGCATGAACAACATAAGCTTCGTGGCGCCATCGATTGACGTGCTCGAGGCGTATTACTATCGGATGTCGGGCGTGTTCGGGGAAGGGTTTCCCGGGCAGCCGCCGCTCGTTTTCAACTACACGGGGGACGTGCTACCCCTCGAGCTCCAGGTCCCGAGGAATGGCACGGAGGCTCGGCTCGTGAGGTACGGTGCGAACATCGAGTTGGTTTTGCAAGGGACGAACCTCGTGTCGGGGATCGACCACCCGATGCATCTACACGGGTACACATTCTTCGCCGTCGGGTGGGGGCTCGGGAACTTCGACGCGGA